GGGGCCCCCCCCCGGCTCACTCCAGGCTCCGGCGCAAGGGAGGCGTGGCCCAGAGAGTTCCCCCCGCTCCTCCCCCCCCCCCCCCCCGGGAATGTCAGGTGAGTCACTCTAAGCTGCTAGCTGACAGGAGCGTCCCATTGGGGACGTTATAGTTTTCAGAACTCAGGGTGTCCACATTCCGCCAGCTCTCCAGTCACTTGCCCAAGGTCCCCAGGGAAAGAGGGCCCGCCCCCTGTCAAGCACTGGCAGCCCTCGGGGGGCTTGCGGTGGGGGGGGGGTTCCTGGGCCACAGGGACCCTCAGTCATGGCCGATCGCAAGACAGTCTCGCGGGGAAGTGGGTGTGCGGGCTCAGGAGCCGGACTGCTGGGGTCCGAGGCTCAGCTTCGCCTCCTCCTAGCTCTGTGCCCGGGCACAGACCAGCCCACGCTTCTGTCAGCTCCACAAGCGGGGCTTCTGCCTCTCCTCTTCCCTGCCACGCGCCTGGCACCGCTCGGTGCCCAGGCCTCAGCAAGCACCAGGGGTTGTCGAATGAATGAATGAATGAGTGAATGAACTGAGCCACGCCCCAGACCTGAGCCAACTCTTCTCAGGGATTTGACTAATGCTAATCGCCCGGAAGTGGGAAAAGGAGAGGCGTGAGGGACACAGAAAAACCAAAAAATCCCAGAGGAGAGAAGCAGAAACAATTGTAAAAGAGCAGGAAACGTGAGCGAAAGGAGGCCCCCCTCCCGGTGGGCCAGCGGGGGGACAGATGTGACCGGCTCCCCGGCCCCCACGAGGGAGCCAATGGTGAGGCTGAAATGAAAGGAATTCCACGTGCCCAGTCCCTGGGCTGCACCGGCCACTCCAGCCCTCAGCAGCCGCCTGTGCCCGGGCTGCGTGGGGACAGCGGGGGTCAGGGCGTTCCCTGGTGGAGAAAGTTCTACTGGGCGGGCGGACTGAGCAGAGCTGGGAAGGGCCTCCGCAGCCTCGGGGGCCGTCCGGGCATGAGTCTCCCCACGTGTTCCTGAAGTGCAGCCACCGCCATGGGGCTGGACTCCTGTCCCCGCCACGCCACCTGGAGGGAACTGGGACTCGGGGCCTGCTCCCGGCAGCGGCTGGTGGGAGAAGACCTGGGCGGGGGGCAGCCAGGCACCCCCACTTCACAGATGAGGAGTCAGAAGCAAGAGCTGCCTTGGGTGGGCTGGTCAGAATGAGGGGCCCCAAGTAGGAAAGAAACAGGATGGAGGCAGAGATGAGGCAAAGAGGCGGGCTCGAGGGGCAGGGCACTTGGGTGTAGGGAGCAGGAAGATGCCTCTGCCAGACACCCCCCCATTCTGCTCTGCCACCCGAGGCCAGGGAGCTCCTGGGGCCTGCAAGGTGCTTGCTTCCTGGGCAGGGCCCAGCCTGCTCACCTGGATCAAAGGTGGCAGAGGGCTTGAGGGCGGCCGCGGCCAGCCTGGCCATCATGGGCGAGATGAGGCCCTTGCTCGCAGAGATCCTCTCCATGATGGAGGCGGGGGGCACCGAGACAGAGGCGGCGGTGGCGGTGGCGGGGGCTGAGTCCCCAGCTCCCGAGGCGCCCAGAGTGGCTGTGTCGGGTGTCGCCGCGGCTGCTGCCCCGGACGACATGGCACCCATGAGGCCGGGGGTGCCCACAGGCAGGGAGGCGCCGCCCCTGCCCGGGAGGATGGGGAAGTAGGAGGCAGCGGTGGGCAGGCCTGAGTTGGAGAGGGCCAGGGCCAGGGGGATGGAGCCGGGCAGGCCCTGGGACAGCAGCCCGGAGATCTTGCTGTTGGGAGGCTTGGTGGCCCCGGGCACGGCCTCGGCAGTGGCGGTGGCGGTGGCGGTGGCCAGGGAGGCGGAGGACTGCTGGCTGGTGGGGGAGGCGCTCAGGCTGGAGTTCTTGCTGCTCAGGGCAGAGAAGTCCACCAGGTCGTCGTTGCTGGACTCCTCCTGCTCGGTGTCCTTGGCGCCCAGCAGCGAGGGCGGCAGCCCCAGCACGCCCGACGAGCGGATGTGCCGGCGCTCGTGCTTGCGCTTGTGCGAGGTCATCTGGCTGGTGGAGGTGAAGGTGAAGCCGCAGCCGGCGCGGATGCAGTGGAAGTGGTTGGTGGCCTTGCTGTACACGCAGCCCTCGTACTTGCACTCCTCGTACTTGTAGAACTTCTTGAAGCCGTCCTTGGCGTAGGCGTCGTCCTTGATGTGGTAGCTCTTGTGCTTCTCGATGTCACACTTGTTCTTGAAGGTGAATGTGCAGCCGGGGCGCCTGGATGGGACACCGGGAGCCTGTCACGGGGCCGCGTGGGGCCGGGAGGAGGCCCCGCCCTGCTCCCACCAGCCGGGGCCTCTGAGCCGCCCTCTCTGCTGTTCCTGCTCCTGTGACGCAGGGCCCTGAGCCGCCCCTGGGGCCTGGTTTCCAGCCTTCCGTCCCTCCCGAGGCCGGCGAGCCTCCCTGGCCAGCCTCCCAGGTAGGTACCTGCAGTGGAAGTGTGTGGTCTTCTGCCCGTAGAACTGGCAGTCGGCTGTGCCGCAGTCCTCGGTGGCCCGGAAGCGCTGGAAGCCGTCGTTGATGAGCTGCGTGTTCTTCTTGTGGAAGTTCTCGTGCGTCATCACGTCCGACGTGCTCGTGTACACCTTGTTACAGCCAACCTGCGGGGGTCGGATGGCTGTCAGGGGAACCCGGGCCAGGCGCTGTTCTGATGGTTGCAGCTGGAGCCTGGGGGCCTGGGCCGCTGGCCTCGCTGCTCAGGGCACATCTGCGCCTGTACACACCCAGCTGGGGGCCCGAGGGTAACTCAGGGAGCCCACAGAGAACCCCTCACGACCCGGCAGGCCTCAGGGCCTGGCCCTGCCTGTGCTGCGGGTCGGGTTGCCCTCTGGGACCCAGGACATCCCGGGCAGAGGCGTGGGAGCCCCTTCCTGCAGGGGGTGGGTTTGGAGTTCCAATCTGTGGCTCCACCTCTAAAGCCCCCAGGGGTAGGCAGGCCGGACCCGGGGGCCTGGCGGTCACCTTTAGCCCAGGGACGCGCTCAGCGGCAGGTTCCTGGCACAGGGCCCTCCCCTCCCACCCCAGCTGGGCCAAGGCAGGCAACGTTGCCATATCGAGTAAAAACCAGTGGAATCTGAACACCAGCGAAGGCTGGGCCGTGCCAGTGTCTGCACCATCTCAGAGCCCAGAGAGCGAGCCCCCCTCTCCCCCGGGCCCAGGTTGTCTCACCGAGGCCATAACAACCCCCTGACAAATACCGGGGGAGGCACGGCGGCTGCTATTTGCAACCCAAAGTCGCTCCCCTGGACCTGACACCTTGAAAAAGCCCAGACTCTGCGTGGCATTAAAACAAAGAATTAAACAAAAACCTCCTCAGGAATCATTTGCGATGCCGCTCTTGGTGTTAAAGCCTGAAAAATGTCGGTCTGTATAAACAGCTCGCTGGATTTCACCCACACCAAGTATGGCCATGGGGAAGGCCCCGCCCTGGCCCACCCGCCGCTGCCTGAGCCTGAGCCCCCGGGACTCGCCACTTGCCCCCCGTCTCCCTGTGCTGGGACCTGGGACGGGAGGAAGGGAGGCTCCCGTCGGGGGTGGGGGCGGGGGGCACCTGCATGCAGTGGTAGTGGGTGCTCTTCCCGTTGAGGTGGCAGCCGTGGTAGTAGACGCTGCAGTCGTCCAGCGGGCTGAAGCGCATGAAGCCGTGCTGCAGGGAGTTGTCGCGCTTCTTGTGCATGTTGTAGTGCCGGATCACGTCCTGCTTGCTCGTGAACCTCTGCCGGGAGAGGGCGGCGGGTTGGCGGGAGCCTGGCCGGCCTGCCAGAGGCCAAGAGCGCCAGGCCAGCTGCTGGCCCGAGGCCCCTCAGGCCTCCCTGTGAATAACCCTGCGTGGGGTCCAGGCAGCCCAGACTGCCCCAAGGCTGGCACACGGGACCCTGGAGGGAACAATTCCAAGGTTCCAGAACCACAGACTCTGCCCTGGCCTCCCCTCAGGCTCCCGACAGCCGTGCCCAGGAGCAGAGAGGATGAACTGGACCAAGCCTCTAAGGCAGGGGCTCTGAGGGACACACTTTGCCCAGAGCCACCGAGGGGCTCTGCCGGGTTGGGCTCCCTGGCGAGGCAAAGGGAGCAGCCCCTAGGCCAGTGATGGCGAACCTTTTGAGCTCGGCGTGTCAGCATTTTGAAAAACCCTAACTTAACTCTGGTGCCGTGTCACATACAGAAATTTTTTGATCTTTGCAACCATAGTAAAACAAAGACTTATATTTTTGATATTTATTTTATATATTTAAATGCCATTTAACAAAGAAAAATCAACCAAAAAAATGAGTTCGCGTGTCACCTCTGACACACGTGTCATAGGTTCGCCATCACTGCCCTAGGCAGACTGCCCTTACTCCCATCACTTTCACGAGCTCTGCACTCACCAGCGGGTGACTTTGAATAGAAGTGACCATGGACCTGAGCCTCAATGTTATCATCTGTAAAATGGGGCAGTAATGCCAACCTCATAATTCCCTGGGAAGATCAATTAGGTAAGGTGCCTGGGCTCTGGCACAGCCCTTGGTGCAAGGCAGACGCCGTGAATGGGCAGTTGAATTATTAGCACCAGGTTGCAGATGGCTCCAGATCTTACCAGATGCCTGTGGGCAGGGGTCTGGGTGCATGGACAGGCCAGTGGTTTTCTGGCCTCTCTGCCTCCCGGAGTTAAGTCCGGGCAGCCCGGGCAGAACTGAGCTCCCATCCCACTTTGGAGAGGCTCCCGCGGCCGTGGGCACAGGAGCAGGCGGTGCCCGAGGGGCCTTACCTGGTAGTTGCACTCGGGGTCCAGGCAGTGGTAGTGCTCGCGGTACTGGTAGGCGCAATGGATGTGGCCGCAGTGCTGGCTGCCCGAGAACCTGCAGGGGAGGGGTCGGCTCAGACCTCTCCGGGGCCAGGCCCAGGGGACTGGGCCTAAGCAGCCAGGAGGAGTCTATGCCTGTGCCGCAGAGAAGTGCCGGGCCCTGTGTGGGGGTGTGGAGGGCAGAGGTGGTCTGCAGGGGTGGAGGGGTGGAAGCCTGAGGAGGCCAGGACAAGCGATTGAGCCCATCAGGAAGCCTAGAGACATCTGCCCTGGGAGTCCCTCTGCCCTGGGAGTGAGTGCCAGGGAAGGCACCGAGGCCTGGCACCAAAGTGGAGAGGAAGGAGCTGGGGCAGCCAGAAGTCAGAGCAGAGACGGAGCAGAGACCCGGATGGGATGGGATGGGATGGGGAAGGCAGGAGCCCCCAACCTTCTCTTGTGCAGGTGCTGCCGACCGCCCAGCACTGGGCCAGGTGCCGGGACCCCGCTGAGCCGGGCCAGGGCTCTATTGCCGAGAGATGCAGCTAGACAGTTCTCTTTCCTGGGCTCTCCTGACACTTGAAACAGGGCAGAGCTATGAATTTTTAACGCACAGCATCTGTTTGGTTTCCCGAGGCGGGGAGCTCACTCTCCAGCCGACTCTGAAGCCAGGAGCCCCAGCTGCCTGGCCACTGCCCACCTCCCTGAAACCCCAGGCCGTCTCCAGGCCGAGATGTTGCCGGGCGTGGCTCTCCCAGCCCCGGGGACGGCCACCCTGGGGAGAACATGCCATGACAACTGCGGAGGAGGTGGCAGGCTCAGCCCGCCTGCCCGGCCGGGATGGCGAGAGACGGCGGGAGAGGGAGAGGAGGCCCCCTTGTCAGGGGGAGAACCACTTGCAAATAAATATTTAAGCTGAAGCTGCCAAAAGGGCCATCTGCTGAGGCGCTAATAATAATGATAATAATAATAATAATAAAGAGAGCAGAGCAAAGCTGGAAAGACAGAGAGGGACGGGCAGAACCTGGAAGATCAGCAGAAAGGCAGCTGCCGGGCACGACCCTGCCATGTGCTGCCCCGCCAGGCGCTGGCAGCCAGGGCCCTGATTTGGGGAATCTGTTGAGGGGAAGGTTACCTGCCAGTCCTGCTGCCTTAAGGGTGTAAAGGGGCAGGTCTGGAGTCAGGGGGTGAGGGCCCAGGCCTGGCCCGGGGAGCGCATTCTGGCCAGTTCCAGGGGCCCACACCCACCCAGGGCCCCGTGTGAGCTGTGGAGGGGCCCTACACTCACCTGTGGCCAGGCCCTGCCCTTGGGCCCCTTCAGGTACCCCGTCCTGCCTGGGGTACAAGCTGCTGAAGGGTGTGTGGCCCGGGTCCCACCCCGGGGGCGGGGCCTCTGAGCTGGGGCAGGAGTGTATGGGGTGGGGAGGCACCTTGGCACTCGTGGTCGTATGGACATCTGGTCCCAGTCCCCAGGCTTTCCTGGTGCCCCCCCACCTGCTCTCCGTGGCAGTCTCCTCCCCAGGGGCCTACCTGGCAATATATTTCTGGTAAATGTTTACATCTTCGGTGACAGCTGGTTTATCTGTGGGCAATCCGTTCCTGGTGAGAGACACAGGGCACAGCCGATTAGCGGACGGGGGGTGGCCTCCTGCCCCAGGAGCATCTGGGAGGCAGCTCCCTGCCCTGGGGCCTGGCCCTTCGCTCCCTCGCTCGGTGGTTGAGGCACTCAGGGTGGGACTGAGCGAGTCCCATGGCGAACGGCTGGCTTGGGTTCAATGAGCTCAGACCCAGCCAGGAGTCCGGAGTGGCAGGACCAGGGGGATCCGCCTCAGGCACGGGCCTGGCCTCGTCTAACCGGCAGGAGCCTCAGAAGTTGGGCCTGACCCCCCCCCCCCCACACCCCGGGAGTCAGGAAGCTGCTGGCTGAGGAGGGGCGCCAGGTACCACAGGGACGTCCCCAGGGGAAGGGGCAAGACGGCCCCAGAGGGCAGGCGGCTCCCCAGATCCGCTCCCAGGTGTGGCCCCATCTCGGGGGAGAGGGTCCCATTCAGCCCCACCATCCGTGACCAGTCATCTTACCATTGGCTGGGGCAACGGTTTCAACCTTTTTCATCTTGGGGCCACACAAGCTACTTACTAAGACTCTGCGGCACACCCCAAAATACACTTTTTGCCGATCTGACACAAAAAACTAGGTATCACTTCGATTCATTTCACACCACGACTATTGTGTTGGCCGTTGTCATTTTTTTATTTGACAAACTCAGGGAAAAGAGGTCAGTGCTCCTGACTAAAGAGTCGGCTATTGCATGTTTTTAAAAATTCTTGGGGCGCAGCAGCTGAAAACCACTGGCCCGGGGGTTAGGGCTGAGTGTGCCCCCTCCCTCCCCCCAGCCTCCTGCCTTCTCTTGCTGCCTTCCCTGTGGCCCAGGCTCTGAACCCAGGAGCCAGGGCCACCAGCTTGGACTCCGGAACCGCCCCCCCCCCAGACTTCCCTCAGCCTGTATTTGGGCCTGGGGGTGGCAGGAGGGAAAGCCAGTTACAGGCAAACAGGGTGGCAGGAGCCTGTGGTATGTGTGTTAGCAGAAAGCACATGCACACAAGTGCCCAGTGTGAGGTATGTGTGCACAGCAAGACGTGCAGTGTGTGGGCCCCTGAACTGGGCATGAGCGCTCACGCGGGCAGAGGGACACGCGTGAATGTGTGTGTGAGCACACACGTGTGAGCAGCAGCACATGCGTGAGAATCCTAGAGTGTATGAGTGCATAGCAGATGTGTGTGTCCACAGACGTGCGCTTCAAAGGCAGGGCCGTGGCCCCGGGGGGCAGGCAGCGGGGAGGGGCGTGCCTTACTTGACAGTGGAGACGGTCCCCGTGGTGATGGAGTCTGTTTTGGAGAAGGTCGACTTCAGGTACTCGGGGGTGTTGAAGGGCAGGGAGGCAGGTGGCTCGGGCCCCGGCCCAGCGGCGCTGGGGGCACTGGGCACGCTGGCGAGGGGAGCAGGAGCCAGGCTGGGGGCGGGTGGCACCTTGGCAGGGCCCGGCTTCTGGATGGCCCGGACGTCGTACTTGGAGGGGCGCCCCACCTTGCCCGTCTTGAAGGCGATGGCCCCGCCCATGTCGGGGCTGCCCTCCCCGGGCTTGAAGAGGTGCAGGTACTTGACGTTCTCCAGGTCGTACTTGGACGGCTTCTTGTAGGTGCTGCCGTTCTGGGGCCGCAGGTTCTCGCCCGTCTTCAGTTTCTGGATGAAGAAGTCGTACTTGGAGGCCCGGGCCACCAGGCCCTGCATGGGGACGCTGCTGTGCGAGGGCAGCGGCAGGATGGTGGCCTTGGTCTCCAGGTGCGCCGTGTGGCTGGGCAGCCGCAGGCCGGGCAGGGGGCCCAGGGCGTCCTTGCCCGCGCGCTCCTCGGCCTTGGTGCCGTGGGCCGGCCAGGAGAGCTGCTCGCCCGCCTTGAGCTTCCGAATGTACTCCTCGTACTTGGAGAAACGCGCCCGCTTGCTGAGGGCGTCCTCCCCGGCGGGCAGCGCGGAGGAGGTGGCCACCTCGGGGGCGGAGCCTGCGTGCAGCTTCTCGAAGCTGATCTTCCTGGCCAGCTCGTCCCTCGTGTTCTGGTCGTCGTAGCCGAACATGCCCAGGAACTCGGTCATGGTGGAGGCCGCGTAGTCCCGCAGCGAGGAGGCCTCTCCTACGGCAGAGAGGACGGCGGTCACCTCTGGGAGGGAGCCGGGGAGCAGGGGACGGGAGCCCCCCCAAGGGCAGGAGCCCCCACCCGCAGAGGGAGGGGGCCGGTGTGGGGAGGGGCGGAGCGGGACATGATCTATGGACATTTGGCTCACTTGTTAGGTTTTACGACTCTTAAATTAATTTGTTTAAAAAAAAAGTAATTAATACTGGGGTAAAATAAAACGAGTTCATCAATGCCAGGAAAATCAATTTCCTAAATGTTCTGGCCGATGGCTTTTCAGTACATTAAACAAAGTTTCATAAATGTCTCCGCTCTCGCCTTGGCCTAATATGAAGACGAAGCCATTTTACTGGAAGTAAGGCAGAGCCCAGCCTGCCTCAGGGGTGGGGGGACAGGGCCGGGCAGGTGGGACGTGGGCCGGCGGCTGAGGGAGCCTCCGTGGGTGGGGTTGGGGTGCGCCTGGCTGGGCCTGCCCGAGGACCCTCCCCGAGCCCCAAAAATGGACACCCAGGACCTTACCCCTGGGAGGGCCTGGCCTGGTGGCCCCGCCCAGAGCCCCCGATTCCTAATGATCCCAGACACAGGGCTGAGGGTAGAGAGCCTTGGTGCGCTCGCTTGACTTGTGAGCCCCCTGGGCACGCGCTCATGCACAAGGTGGCCACCCGCGGAGTCGGGGCCAGAGAGGCAGCAGGCCCAGGTGCGACCCATCTCTGCCCCACCCGAGCCCACGCCAGGGACACGGAGAACCCGAGCAACCCCCACAGGGGACCACGTGCACACACGCTCGCCATCGAGCTCACATCCCTGCCCCCTTCCCGACTTACAGACACACGTACACAGACCACCCACACCCCACGCCCAGCTCCCCGAGACTCGTCTCAGGATGCGGAGGTCAGATGATCCGACCCTCTCGGGGCTCTTCCCTGGAGACCCCTCCCTTCCACACACGACCTTCCACCCCATCAGACAGGTGACCCCTCGGCTCGCACAAGACACTCCTTCCTGCGCTGAACACTGGCTGAACACCTACTATGTGCTCTGCCCGGAACCAGGGGTGGGTGCACACAGGAGGGTGAGACCCCCCACGGGCCCCAGGGGACGTTCGTGTTCTCCCCACTTGTGTCAGAGCCCGCACCCCCAGGCGGGCACACTCAGGGTGGTAGGGCCCCAGGCTGCGGGGCTTGGAAGCAGTCAGGGGAAGATGTGGCCAAAGACAGGGTGGGAGGCGCAGGACTCTGGCCGAGTAGCAGATGGGGGTCTCCTCCCGATCCCCGCGCCAACCTGCCGGGGCTGGAGTTCTCAGACCACACCTGGAGGTGGTCTCATAGGGCAAGACTGGGCTTGGGAGCAAGAGAAAACCCAGCCAGATGTGCAGGGAGAGGCTCTGAGCTCCGTGCGCGCATGGGTGGAAGCAGTCCTGGAGGACTGGGACCCCCCCACCCCCAGTGAGG